TTTGACATTTAAACATTTCAGCAGCTATAAGGGCAACATCAGTCGCTTCTCTCTGGCTTTCCTATATCAAGTCTTAGCTATTATTTTATGTACTTAATTAAAATTTGAAGTCAAAAGTGTTGTCTGGCAAATCAGAAGAGGTGGCAGTGCGCGTCCCTTTCGCACATATTGCGAAGCTGTATTTCGCTTTTATGGCAGTAATACAAATATAATATTGCAGCACGGCTGGCGTTATAATAAATACGCAGTATATAGATAGAGGGGGGAAGGAGGGCGTTGGGCTGAAGGGGAAAAAATAAATATAGCATGCAATAAATTCAGCAAAGCGCAAGCAATCAGCCAACAAATTGTAAACAGTAAATTTCACGCTAGACAAGAGAAAGGGCGCAGAAGGCGGTGCCCGTAGGAGGGGCTAGGTGTAAGAGCTGAGAGTGGAAGATACTGCTCGCTTACACATTAGCACTAAATCGCAGCGACTAAGCGCCGCCAGTTAGTTAAACGTTTCTCATATAAATACGCACACAGACTTACGCCCGCAAGCTGTGCGAGGGCAGCGCCACGCCCACTAACGAAATTTATCTGCAGTGCTGCGAAAAATCCTGTGCACGCTGCAACGATATGCAAACTAATCTTTATTTCGATATTTGCATAAAGTGCAAAAGAAAAAATTTTAAATATGAAAAAAAAGCAACGGAATGTCAAAAAATTGCAAAACGTCGTCAGTAAGTGTTGCTGGTGGGTTTGGTGGTTTTGTCTATATACCCTGTACAGGTGTGCCGTAAAGAGAGTATGCTAATACAGAGCGAGTAGGAGAAATCTTGGAATCAAACTAAAAATGTACTCAAATATTACATCTTATAAAGAGAGGTCTGGTATCCTTATTGGGTCAGATCAAGCAAATAATCTCTTAATTTACCTACCAGCTTTCAACTAGTAGTCTACAGGATATTCGCCGTTCGGCTCAATATTTAGATAATATGCGTATTTGTTTTAGTTTCTTCTTTATTTTTATTTTTTATTGTTTTTTGTGTTTCGAGTAGTGCATAAAATAGCAAGGCAAAGGATTTACTGCAGCTGCCACGCCCACAGCGGCTGGCAGAGATATTGCCGAGCTGCCGAGGCCGGAGTCACGTTATTTGCAGGTGTTGCAATCTATCCGACAACTCCGACGTCTCCAGCGGTGTGTGCGTGTGTGTGTGTGTGCTCACAAGGTGGCAATGGCGGCTTTGTGGTGAGTTGTAATAAGAGCAGCAGCACATACGCACACACGCACATATACACCTGTTCCCACACACTCACACACACACACAGACACTTCTCGCTGCAAGTGTTTTTGATCTCGCGCTGCTTTAGCCTGTTGGGAATTTTGATTAAAAATGCTTCCACGTGAAGCTCAAACGTGCTTGGCACCGAGTAGCCGGATCTGGAAACTCTTCACACATACACACACACACACACACACACACACACACACACTTTCTCCCGTGCTCGCTCAGTTTGTCTGCACACATGGCTGAATGGGCGTTGGTGGGCGTGTCAGTGTGCCTTTATTGGCATTGGCGCGTTTATTTTAACGCGTTGCTGCTTGCCTGCCTGCCGACTGTATGTGTGTGTGTGTGTGTTTGTGTGCTTGCAAATTTTTACATTGAGATTTATCACACCAAAAACTTTAACCCAACGAGCGAAAGCGAAATAAGAAATGTGCAGTGAGTAAAACATGTTGAGTCAGGCAAGTCGACGTACAAATAGCCTAACCAGAAACAATATCTAAAGAAGTTTCGATGAAACTTTTTATAACTAATATAAATAAATAAATGTATATTATATTATATACATATATATTCATATATATCACGCTGAACCATATGATACACAATAATCGATTATTTGGCCATTGGCGATTTATCCATTAGCGATTTATATTTATCGCAAAATGGACTGCGATTAATTCAAACCTTAATCGATTATTTAAAAAGTAATCGCGAAAAGAGGAACACAATTCTAGACTTAATGAATAAATAAAGTAATATATTTTAAAGAATTTGTTTACAATACCAAATCTAAAAAAAAACTAATGAAGAACTTCTTTTGATTAATAATTAATCGATTAATTCCCGTCGATATATTGAATATACTAATTGCGTAGCTTCAATTCCTTTAATCAATCATTTTTGCCATGTTATAAATATAATATTCACAAATAACAGTTAACGTATCTGAATGATGAAGAGCAAAATATTTTTTGGATATTACGTAAATTTAGTTTTTAGGAAATTACAAAATTGCTTTAAAATACAAGTTATCATTTCAAATATATTTGATTTTCTGCTAATATACCTTCCTTCCCGAACTGTGGCTTCTCGTACTCCTTAATAAATACTGCAATTTCAGCTGACATTGCCAAGAGATAAACTGTTTCGCCCACAGTAAGTCAACCAGAAGAAGGTAACCATTTAGCCATTTATCTTCTGCATCGGCAAGCTGCACCGCACAGCTCTTATGCCCTTTGTTTTAGTGTATAAAGATGATGTAAATATCACAATATGCCGCATCCTTTTGCAACGGCAACATAAAGCAATTAATTGTTAAGGCTGCTGGCGCTTGTGCAGCTGCAGGTGAGTTATACGAGATATATACATTATTCCACACACACACACACCCAGAGATATATATTTATATATGCACACCTAGATGATGGATATACACAATGCTAAATGCGGGCCCTAGCAGCCGGAAAAAAGGAGAAAACTTTGTGATGATATATTCGCGACAATAAGCGTACCGAATTGCATCGCATCAAAAGCAGAGTAAGATGCTAGAATAAGAGATATATTGTATATATGTTATGTATGTATATATATTATGATAGATTTTCGTGTGTTTCTGTATAACTAAAAATTTAGAAACTGAAGTGTTGTCTGTTCAGGTCACATGACAAACGAGCGGCGTGTTAATCCCAACTTTCGCCAACAGCAGGCTTGTAGTCCCCGCTAAACTACACTAATTACTTCCCCTCGTTTCGTACGGCCGGCTCTAAAAGCCAACTGCGAACAGCTAAAGCCACAAGCCCTACGAGGAGACGATTTGGGGCTCCATCAAGGAGCGTTACAAGCGACCACAAATCAAATGCACACCAATTACCTGGCGCCAGGGCGCACAAAGCATAATCAACTGGCATAATTAACAGCTAAAAATGCAAAAGAGCGGTGTGTGCGAGTGTTTGTGTGGGCGCTAGAGTGTGTATCAACAAAAATATGCTTTGCACCTGGCCCGGCCCTCTGCAATTTTCACACATTTTGCGGTGCTGCTCCGGGCTGAGCACCCCTACCGACATCTCTCGCCTCGCTATAAACAACAATAGCAACAAACAACAAGTCGCAAACAACCAGTAGACAGTGGTAAATTATAAGTTGCAGAGTCTCGCCATAAAGTACAGCACATTACTCATACGCCACGTGCATAAATTTCCACCTTTTACCTACCTTGCCTGATAATTATTTTCCGTTTACAAAATGGCTGCCATATCGGAAAAACAGCCGAGCAACGGCCATAATAAACAATCGCCCAAATATATAATAATATCGAGCATTTTTCTGTACACAAATATTTTGCCAATATTTAAGTTATTTTAGGGAATTTTAAATTAAGTTGATTGAAATGAAGCCCTAGTATTTTTAGGGATTATTTTAAGTAAATCTCGATTTAATCTGGGGATATTGGATTTTTTGTTTATTAACCTTTGCTTTTATTTCAAGAACTGAAAATGGGTTACTTCTCGTCTTTATATATTTGAAATTTATTTGTGATTAGTTCTTTTATTATTATTATTTTATTATTATTTTATTATTATATATGTAGATCTCTAACTTTTATATTTTTGCTGTGTACAAAATTTGGATTTCAAAGACCACAGCAATTGCTCGCTTGGATCAAAATATCGCCATGACTCTGGGTATTCAAATAAATTCATGGCCAATTTTATAGCTCGCCCTCTGTTTATAGCATAATAAATATATTTATATACCACTTATGCGGCCTACTCCATAAATTTTGCCTCCCAACTATAACTTGAGCATAACTTTGATAAACTTTACTCGATGCACAATAAATACAAGTTGATGTTTGATCAAATTTGAGTAGAGTTTCAAGCTCTTTTTGCTGATTTCTGGTGTGGAGTAAATTATACAAGTTTATGGCTGCTAAATTAGTTTAGCGATAAATCAACAACTCAATCGATATAATACCTTTAGAGTATATATGTATATATGTGTATATATCTATATACAAATTTAACTTTTCAAGTTTGGTTACTCTCCAGTTAAAACGATTAATTTTTATGGCTTTACTGCACACTTAATTAGACGCAGGCTGCTTAAAGCTCATTAAAAATTTACCAGAGTCGGAGCGAAAAGTTATGAACCGCCTCCACCGCTCTCCACTGCTTCCACTTCCTTCTGGTTATTGATTTGCGCAGAGAGCAATACAAAAACGAAACTTTTAGCTGTTTATAATTTAGTGTAAAATTATAAATACTTTTCGGGCGCTCGGTTTAAGCAAATTAGTTCAATTGCCGGGGTAAGTAAAGGAGCAGCTGCCCCTCTCTCTCTCTCCTCCTCGCCCTTCTGTGTGCAGACTTGATTAGGCTTAGGCCAAAAAACTTTATCCTCTGCACAGTTGTAAATAAGCAAAAGTAAATTTTGGCAAGTAATTTAAGCCACACAAACAAGCTGGCAAACAAGTTTGGAGCGGGTGGCGCCAGTTGGCCCTCCCACTGCCCGCATGCCTGCCAGGGGTGTAGTTGGCAAGGGGCTTCGATTTGCGAAGAGGTCCTCCAGCCCACCCCCGTTGCCCGATCCCGGGAAGCTATCATGCCACAGCATGTAAAGTTCTTTAACCAGTTTTAATTCAAAATCAATGTATGAACTTTGCTTACATTACGCCAAAACTTTGCGCTCTGCAGCTTCAATTAGGGATATATACGGATGGTTTGTCGCACTCACCTTCATATATGGTTAAAGTTGCATCTGCGGATACGGCGTCGCCCACGCCGTTCTCGGCGACGCATTCGTATGGTGCATCGTCCCGTCCCGCTCGCACCGGCTCGATGCGCAGTATGGAAACGCCGCCCGGTTGCTCCAGCACCGTGTAACGGGATTGAGTGCCTGTGTTGGGTAGCGGTTGAATGCGGAATTAGTCAATTGACTGGCCCAAGTGTTGGCTAATGCCGCTCCACTTACCTGATACTTTTTTGCCGTTCTTGCGCCACACTATGGAGGGTGGCGGATCCCCGCGTGCCGCGCAGTAGAAGCTGGCCACGCCCCCAACGCGCACGCCCTGATTCTGCGGCTTCTTGATGATCTCCGGCGGATCTGTGAAGGTGCAAAAGAACAGCAGGTGGCATTGAGTATCGATTTACTTGGGATTAATATGAAGAGCTCGCTCAATGGGGCAAAGGAGTTTCTTGACATTCGATGCGCTGCATCCATATACTGGATGGTTAGTATTCGAAATTGGTACGGAATTAAGGAAAGTTTAGTTGAAATATAGTGATAGTCTGCTCTGATAGAACTCACAGCTGTGAGCTGAGTTAAACGATGAAAAATATTTCATGAAAGCAAAGCATATATCATTTATATATCCTTGTATGTGAGTCATTTCTTAAACGAGGAAAACGGCAATCGTGATAAAAATGCAATACGGCTGACAATACGGAACAGCCAGTGAAAGAAGTGCATTTAAATAAAACGAAGCTTTTTGCCATATCAGGGCAGATATGCTGTAATTGTTGTCCTCACAACAGCAACTGTTGCTATATCGTTTTTTTGTGTTGCTGTTTTGTTTTTGTTTCTCGTGCTCCTTCTCTTTTTTTAAAGCCCTTTGCCTTTTGCTTTAGCAGCGAATTCGATTTATTTCTGCGCTTGTGTGTTTTGCACACAATCTTTCTTTTTTACATATTTGTCACAATATGCTGTCAATACAACGACGCATGTTGTTTGTGACAGAAAGAAGCCGAAAGAACGAGACAGAGGTATAGAGATAGATAGAGAGAGAAATAACTGCGTACGTGCTGCACACATAGCAAGAGATACAAACAGGAACCAGGCACAGCTTGCCGCTGCCGCTGCCTCTGCCTCTGCGTGTGGCATTAAAAATCTGGCAAAAATCACGAAACGTTAAACAAGCAGCAATAATATTGTCATGTGCATCGTTTGTGCAGCTCCTCCCCCTGCCCCATCGACGCAGCCCCTGCAATTGTCCTGTAAAGCAGTTTGCCCAACATATCAATTCGATTTATGCATTTTACTTAACTTAAATGTTAAATTCTCTTACATAAATATAAATTTATAAGTGAATTACTCTTGTATTATCTGAACTTCTGAACTGTGCTGCAGCACATAAAACTTACGTGTCAGATATTGTATATAAGGAAAATCCGAAAAATTTGCATCTGGAAATTTGATGTGGAGTTTAATATTAACGATTCATTTAGCGCGGCGAAACGAGTCGAAGTTTGTTTTGTTTTTTTTTTTTTCTTAGCTCTTTATATTTTATTTTTAACGTGTTTATTATTATTGTTATTATTCTTATTATCATTATCATTATTATAATCATTATTATATGTATTGACATAAATGTTATACTGTCTTCAAGTTGTTAAATAGTTTTAGACTTAAAATTAGACAAAAATGTCTAACAGATACTTAAATACATAGCTTTGGTTTGTATACATAGAAATATTTTATTTAAACACACAAAGTAGTTAAAAAACTTAAAACTTTCTAAATAATTATTGAAACATATTCATTCTGCAGATTGCATAACAAACTCGAAGTACATATTTTTAAATTAAGTCAATTTTTTTTTTTTTTAATAACTCCAACTAAAGCACAGCTCCAGTTGAATATATGTATGTATATACAAAATATTGAAATACAAATTCAATAAATAAGTTAATAATTTTAAGGAATTCATGGAAATATTCAAAGAAGTAAATTTTATTGAAGGGATTTAGATATACAAGAGACATTCTCTCTCGCCCTCTCTCTCTCTCTTTCTTTCTTTTTCTGGACTCTGAGTGGGGCATTAAAACTTTTTTGGCTTTCTGTGATCAGATTTTGAAAGTCTGTTGTAAACTTGACGACCAGGCGGTAGACGGCAACAAGCGAAAGCAAATGCCGCAGGTTGGATAAGTAAATATATAAATAAATATAAGAATGTAGAAATAATATTTGCCGCTGAGATAGAGAAATAATAACAGAGTGAAAGAAAGCGGGAGAGAGTGAGAAAGAGACCTAAAGTGTGTGAGTGAACTGCATTGTTGTCGTGGACACGAATCTGAGGACTTTGTATAATGTACAAGAATTGTAAATAATTTAAAGTTTGCCACAAGGCGTTCACAGCCAAAAACATGCAGACCATTTGCTGGGTAATGCGCTGCCATTGAGCCAGCTGCCAGCATTGTTGTTGCTCTTGTTGTAGTTGTTGTTGTTGATGTTCGTGTTGTTACGAATACTTGGTATCATTTGGCAAGTTTGTGTTAAACTTTTGCCTCGACAACTTGCCGGCCAGAGTTTTGCATGTGGAAAATACGACTACATATACTAAGCACACACGCCACACACCAGCCAGAAAGCAGGAAAATTAAAAAGGAGGAGAAGAGTCCACACACTGCAATGTATGTGTGTATGTATGGCAAACCACAGTCGAGCTCACAGTCAGAAAAGCTGTTGGCCAGGCCAATTTCGCATGTCTACCTCGAATTTCACGAAACTCGCAAAATTATTTCAAATGTGACACTTTGAAAGCTCAAAGTGTGGTCACCAAATTAACTCGATTGCTAATCTGAGTGCCTGCGCACTTTAGTCGAGTTTCGAAAGGCAAAGAGGGTGTATTCAAAGTGCATTCACTAAATTTTAGTGAACCATAAGTGAATAGTGCTTGAAAGCAACGCCAAAACATCTCTTCTTAGCGATGACAAATATGAGTTATTGATCGATTATTGAATCATATTATTAATTTAAGCAAAACGATATTTTATTTTTATTAATCGACAAACTAATCGATTGATTGATCAAATATCTATTTTTTTAATTGCTTTTTAAGTGTTGTATAATGCCATAATGCAAAAAAGTGAAAAATTAAGAACAATCACGTCTTTCTCATTAACAGTTGCACCCGATTTAGAAAAGAAGCCTTTTGCTGGCATTAAAGTGCCTAAAACTCCCACATTTTAACTTGCGTTGGTGAGATGGTTAGTATTTTTGTTGTCCTTCTCAGCGAATGTATATATTTTATATCGTCAATGGAAGCAAGGCAATTGATGGTCTATCATATGATTAAGCATGCCATCCCAATTTCTTCTACCTAAAATTCTTCAACACTAATTGCTTTTATAAGTTGAATAAATAAATAAGTTGAATATCTGTGAGTATCGTACTCTATTTACGTATCGTATCACATTTTATTAAATAGTAGTCAGTTTGATTTTTCATATTTCATTTATAGTTCACTTGAATTTGAATTTAAATTTCGATTCGTATGAAAAACATTTCCAGGAACAATTTTCAGTGCAACTAAATTTCCTATTGCTCATTATGAAACGCCCAATGGAGTTTTCTCATGCGATCTCTCTCACTCGCACTCGCTGTCTCTTGCTCTCCCTCTGGTTGCCTTTATGTGTGTCGTCGCCTCATTCTCTTAGACCGCGAAGCGTTGCTGGATTTGCGAAGCACTTGAAAGCATTTTACGCTTACGTTAACAGTTTTTATAGCCCGAGCAGCAATAAGCATATTGGTTTGTGGCTGTAATGAGCTACAGCATCCGCAGCCAGAGCTCTTTTCGCTCACTCCTCCCACCTCCCACCCTCCCTGCTTCACTCCTCTCCCCTTCCACTAAATCAATGCTCAAGCTCAAGATGGCAAAGCAAATTTACAGCGATTTTTTCTTCGTTATATATATGTATATATATACATATAGATATATATCTTCTTTATTTTTTTGCAGCGACGCCTTCGCAGCGCGCATTTGTAAAGTTTTATGTTTGCTTTAACAATTTGATTGCGTGCTGAGAGTGGGAAAGGAATGGCGAGAAGTGCAGACAGAGAAGGCGATAGAGTATCTGCCGTGACGAGTCATAAAAATCGTGTCATTATAGCCATAAAACTGGGATTTCGGTGTATTTGCGGTTTTTGCGAACATTTTTGCTTGTTGCTTGGATTCGACTAAAAATTTAAATAAATTTAATTATATTTGCTTCGGGGGATGGGGCGTGGAGGCGTGGAGGATCCGTTACAAAGATTAAAGGCATACATAATGAAATTCGCAGATGGCATAGAAGATACCACCCAGTGCGAGATCCCGCTGAATTGGATTGGTTTGTGTACGGATTGCGGGCTTTACAGTTTAAACTACAGCCAAGTCTGCAGCACAACCCCAACCCCCAGACCACATCATCCTGTCCCTCTCCCTCTGCTGATTTTTCATTTCGCACGTTTGACTGGCGCTGGGGATTAAATGGGAACGAGACAGTGAGACTAAGAGAGTGCGTGAGTGAGAGAGAGAGGGAGAATGGGGGAGAGGTATAGGCGGAGCTTCATAGAGCAAACAATTTCGTTGTTGATATGTGCAAATTGATTTCAACGTTTCAAATGCACAGTTATAGATGCATACACACACATGCACACACATTCAGAGAAATGGGATTAGTAACACTGGCGAACGGGCAATTTATATGGAAATTAATACCAACATTTTTACTATAACGCGAAAAAATAAGAAATAAAATATATATTTGTACATATATATATTTTTTACATATAAAAATCGAATTGATTTTTTGAAAATGTATGCGGAAATCGTTTTAACAGACCATGGACGTAGCTTAATAACTGAAAAATGGAAGGGTGATGTGAAAGCCAATCTTGTTCCAGTTGTTTAAAACAAACACACATACCCTTGCTATAGACATTTATTTTCAACTTTATCTATAATGCTCCCTCTATATATATGAATATTCTTCTTCTTTACAAAGCTTTAAGAACACTGCAAAATCAACTAGAATTTATTCAGTATATTTCTACCTTATGCCAAGCTCTGTGAATATCTAAATTTGGCAACGTTCATCCACTTAACGTTCGCTCTCAATTGAACTGACTGGCAGTGCTAATAGACAAAAAGCCCTCTTGCGCAACCCCTACCAAGTGCAGCCTCTGCTTTTGAAACATTGTTCAAATATGCCCATAAGTTTTGGCCTTGTTTTTCAATATGCCAAAATGCTCATAAAAATTGACCCCGTGTGGCACAAGGCATGGGCTGAGGCTAAGGTAGGGCCGCAGGAGGCGCAGGAGGGGGATCCGAGAGCATATAAAATCAGCATATGCTCAGCGCCGTAAAGTATGCAGCTGCTTTTTATGGCCCTAACCCTAGTTCGAGCAAGTTAGGCCTCCAAATGCCTGGCCTGGCAATTTATGGCCGCCTTCCGTCCCCCGTTTCCCGTCTCCCGCATCCGCTTGCCGCTTGCCGCTTTCCCGGCCGTCTCCTTCATCAACCACTTGCTAACAAGGTTTTTCTATTTCATCTGTACGAGTTTTTAATAAGTGCAAAGTGCGGGCAGAAGTTTCTGCAAAAATTTCAACATTTAAGGGTTATTGTGAAAGGGGGTACTGGCAGGGGCTGAAGTGGGGGCTGCTGGGTTTTGGGTTTGCTGCTGATGTTGCCAAACTTTGTGTGTGAGTGTGTGTGTGTTGAGGACAAATCATTTGCCAGCAAAAACTAGCTACGAACAAGATATGAACGAAATGAAGCATCAGAGGAATATCCTTTGCCTCGCTAGAAGCCCCATTGCTCCACATCCACATCCACAGCCCTCCCTCTCTCCCCATTTGCTGACTGACAGCTGCAATTCACCTGTCAGCAACAGCAGCAGCAGCAGCACATTTCGTTTTACTGAATCGCATTGAAATACGATGCTAAATTTAACGATTCATTGCATTTGCTGTTATCCAACACTTGCCCCAGCAAATTGCAACTCTGTTGAAATGCCCCGCCCCCATGCTCAGCCCTCGCTCCGACTATCTGTGACCCCCTTTTCGCTCAGCAGCCGCGCGTTGTGTATTTTTAATGCACCAACTTTGGCATAGAATTGCTAAATCTGCTGAGTCTAAGAAACAGAACGCCTTAGCTCCGGCTCCGACTCTGATGCTGGCTCTGGCTCTGGTTCCGTTTTCTGTAAAACTCTGCAAATAAAATATAAAGTGCAGCATAGTTTTACGCCAGGGGTTTTTATAGCCAGCGTCGAGCAGCTAAATTTTAATGTTACTTCAAAGGGTAATAAAAATAAACTTTACGCAAGTTGAGAACAAGCTGCGATGCTCGCCCCGGAACAAAAGGCGCCCGTGATTATATCCCATGGCCGACTGCAACTATGCAATGTACAATTTTAATTAAATT